TAGAATGTAGCAAAAGAGCTGGTTACATGATTATTTTCTCTACCTATCTCAGCTAAACGTTTCATATTGCCGCACTCGAGATGATAATAAATGCGCAGCTACTGAAGATAGCCCCGTCGAAATTCCCCAAAATTATGACTATATATAGTTTCTGAACAAACAAAAACAAACAAAAAAAAAACAAATTTTTTTTCATTCACACCGATCGGTCGCTTTAGAACATATATCAATATTCTGATAAACACGAAGATATAGAGTATCTTAGCCAGCGCGTATTTCGTAACTTGTGGAACACACGACCGGTTTTCTCTTCCATTGCAGTTACGCTTCGACAATTGCATTATATTAAGCTCGAGATATGAAAAATCAAACTTCTAAATTCACTGAGAAACGTACGCTTCCAAAAAGCTGCTTCGCCCCGATGATTTTAATGCATAGTAATTGTTATAGGATTATGAATTTTCCATCTTATTCGAATGATGTGCTTCAGATATTTGTGGGGTACGCACGCCCCACATATTCCACATAGAAAATCAAGCTAATACGCTGAGTACACGAACAGTGGCTCACCTAAAATTAATATCGGGACATGGGGGCTGTTATCTAGCGGAGAAAAGTTTACTATCAAGCATCGCAAGAAGATCCACTATCAAGAAATGCCCCTGATGATAGAGGTTCAGGAACTATCTATGTAGGCATTTTCTTTCTTTCTAAGTAGAATATAGGGATATAACTAGCATAACGTGATAAAATACTCATTGTTTCATCTCGTAATTACGATCAAAATTATATCCAAATGCTTTACATTATATAGACTGTATATTATGCAGGTGGTATACACATACTTAGAAATGGAAAGGGTTAATAGCTTGATTTTACCAATGTCACATAGTGGCCTTCCTATTTCGGTGCCTTCGAATGACGATCTGTCTGTGCATCCGAAGCCAAAGTCTTTTTTCCTTAATGAAATTTTTGCCCTTTTACGCATGAAAATGTATGCCATACACAGTTTTTTTTTTTAATTACATCGCAAAGTTCTCCACACATTTTATTATAGTGATAATCAATTCCAATTTGCAAATATACTGTGCTTAACTAACTGACTCTCTTTAACCCACACTCTAGGCCCTAACATACGCTGATTCTATTACACAACGACTGAGACGCGGCGTGAATATAAAAAAAAAATACACCGCCACCGATGGCCTATAGTTTCGTGTAGAAACGTTAGAAAAGCCGTCAGCAATGTGCGTATGATCTAGAATTAGAGAGATAACGCGAGACAGGGCATGGGAGAAGAGACAACAATTGACCCTCCACCATGATGAAAGCGGATACTGAAGTTCGCTTCGATATGAAATATTTGCCAGAAAGGAAACAGTCGACAAATTCCGCAGTGGCCACCAAGGGGCAAAGGTTTCTAGCAGACGATAAAGCTGAAAGGCTATGCCCGAATGGCTTTGCTAGCCCTTAAAATGAAACTGTCTGAATCCTAGAATAACTCTTCCTTTTTTTTTCTACTTCTCTATTTCATCTGCTTTACTCTTTTGCCAACTCGGCTGCTCTGTCCCGACGGGACGCTCAGCCTATGCACGCGGCGGTCCAAAATCGTACTGGCTGACGCGAAATAAGAGAACGTTTTGCCTAGAAACATTCACATACGTAAATAAGGCTGGGGTGCTAGGTTAGCGTGTCCGTGAAGCATAGTTATGTGTGAAGCGTACACGTACAGCCACCGACACCTCATAAGCCCGCAAGGGGGCAAGAGCAATTCGGTCGCAAACGTATTCGCTAGATTAATCTTTGTCTTCCAATTATTCTAAAAAATATGCATCGAAAAAAGTTGCTAAAGAACGGCGTACGTTATAGCCAGAAAAAAAAAAATATTTTTGTACGGAAAAAAAGTATGCAAGATGTCACCAACCCATGTGTGATATGTGATAAATGACTACCTATAGGTGAAGTTAATATAAGTAATACTAGCTTTACTCATCTACAGAAGTGTGCAACATTTTTATGGCAACCGAAGAAGATTACTCGACAATATTATTAACAATTAATAATAATCATACAACACAACCGACGTACGATTAGAACATATATCTCTATATATCTAGAAATCGGTTTTGAAAATTGTGTTTGATCTTCCTACACGTAGGCTAAAAGGAGAACATATTAATAAATAGAAGATGTCCGATTAATCCTTGTGTCATCTTGAGACGCACAAACATTTTTTTTACTGATGTTCAATTTTACTGATATGACCGGGAACAAGTTGAGCAAGCTGGTTCGAAAACGGTTGAAGAACGTACAACCCATAAAGTTTAATTTTTACACTAAAACACAATTCACTTCGTCAGCAAGCGAACAATGATACTTGCCCCTTATAGCAATGACAAACATTTAAAAACATCGACGTATCGTTCACGCTGTCCATTTATTGAGTTTCTTATATCTATATCGAAGCTAGGATTAGTAGATTAGCTAGATATGACGGAACTTCAACAATACAATGGGTTAGGTCACTGCTACGTGGTCCTGTAGTAACGCGTGTTGATTGTAAGAGATAAACTCCCCCAGCACAATATCACCGCCATGATTTAACACCATTTAAACTGACTCATTCCATACCATAACTGAATAAGAGGAGAAAACAGTGTATGCGAGTTATTTAATGAAGCAATTAAAGCACGGCAACAGCGCGACGTCCTGCATGAGTCTGGCCGAGGGCTTACGCTCGACGACAAGTTGCCATGAGCTTTTCGTGTGTTTTGTCAATGTGCCTTTATTGCAATGTGTTTTCATGGCAAGCGACAAAAAAGCCTTTCGTAAAACGCGTGTATTCTGCAATAAAAATAAGTTCGAAACTAGCAATCTGTTGTAGGCTAGGAAGACATTTCCACAAGACAAAGAATCTTACTATTATGATGAAGTGTGGCACGCCACTTAATTTCGGTATCTTAATATATTTTCGTTAGTATCTCCCTCCTTGCTTACCCACAGTTACAAGTCCTATAGTAACCTTGTAAATCGTTTTGTACCCTTCATAGTCTAACAACACACGCATGTCATTGTTATTGAATATGCGAATATATAGTAGTTAAGATCACGCCGACATTCGTTATGATATGTGGGTCTTACCTTTCTCACTCGCCTTCTTGGTTTCTGTTAACTCCCGCCCGGACGTCAAGGTCGTCCACAATGAGCCACAGCGAAGCAAGTTCAAACTAAAGTAGAGGAAGTTCGTTGAGTGCGACCTTTTGCTCGGATTAAATATTTCCCATTTTATGTCCAGTATCTCTGTTAGGCGTTCCATTAGACGATTATTCCCGTTGTTCACCTCTGGCCGCTCGTTCTCGGCAGCCTGAATCTCGAACAAAGGAACGACGTGGGAACGACCGCACCGGCCTATGGGCTTGTGCACTGGAACATTCCGGCGTAAAGAAAACGGGGGATTTAGTTAAGGATTTTGTTGGATCCCGATAGGATCTGATTAAAGCTGTGAACGTACGTCGCTGTGAATGGCTGCGTGTGTTCGTGTATGTGAAACTGGACTCATCATTTAAGCTATCGCCGGTGAGTGCTGCTTCTATTAGTGACGGAAGCAGCAAGGTGTTGGCAATGCTGGGTATGCTGCATCTTCCAATTAGTTCGTACTGGTGCCCCCTAAATCCATCGACCGGGATGGGGGCGTTAGTACGGGCCTATACTGTTCGTTATGGTTTTTTTGCAGTTGGTGCCACCGTTTATGGTTTTCGTTCTCTTGGTAAATAAAAGCTAGACCTAGATGATGATGGTTTTGCTGGTCCTGGCGGTGTTGCATCTTCAACGAGACAAGTAAGACCATTTGAAGGCACCCAGTTGGTGCAGGTAAAAAAGCTAGCCGTGGCGATGCCACCAAGACTGGTAGGCTCCTTCGCAATGCTCAGAGAAGTGCGAATACTGCAAAGAAGACAACTCCGTTTTACTCTATTCCCTCCATGGCTCAGGAAGAAGAACGCAATCACAATTTGTACAGGCTGCTTGGCCCTTATGCGACAGGGATCGCAAGAAAAGGCTAAGAAGGTCCTGGGGGATCTCTCCTAGTAGTCAGTAGTGAGCGTCTGTGTGAGCCGTAATCTCGCATACACACCTTAAAGAGAAAAATATAAAAGGGAGGAATCTGATGAAAGAAGGAGACAGTTGGTTCAAGATCAGAAATTGCAGCAGGCACGACCAAACCGTTCTGGGTCGACCATATCGACTACACTAAGCCGGCAGCGGGAAACGAAATTAAAGAAGAAAGGCCTTTATCAAAACAGTAATATTCAAAGACCGCCAGGCGGCTGCCATTTGCTTTGTCTTGCCTTTAGCCATCCTAGCCGTTATTTGCTTTTCCTACATGCTTCGAATGTAGACTGGAACAGAGATCCCTACATGTGCTGGAAGCACAGGCAAATCGACGTAGTAAACTGTGCCATCTATACGAATAGGAATACGAAGCGACGCGGTAACCTGCAAGGCTTGCCACCAGTGTCAGGACCGGCCTCAGCCTTCTACTCGATTTTTGCGCCAGCCAACGAAGTTCGGATAGGGTTGGGTCGAGTATGGATTTTCAATTTAATCCCAGACGATGACATTATCTCAAAACTCTTTCTTACTTTTCTAACTGCGAGCCTGCCGTATAGTTCTCTCGCTGTTTGCCTTGATCCACCTTTCCCTCCGACACGACTCGGCGACTCATGGCACCGAATCCGCTGGTGTCATTGTAGTCACCGTAGCTGCCGCAGTTCAATTGCTGCTAACACCGTCAACACCGAAGAACTCCACCCCAGTTGATAACTGGAGATAAGAAGGAAAGAAAACCGGCAAAATGCGTTGTGCTACCCAAAAAAGAAAAGGAAGAAATAGAGCGGGAACGGGAATCAGCAAAGCCGAGTCGCATAGTGTGAATCTCTTGACATGGGGCGACAAATTGATTAGTTATATAGCCGTGCTGCCCCTGTAAGCGCAGAGCAAAACACTGACACACATACGCACACACCCACACCCACATAAATTTACTACTTGCGTCTAGAAACTTGCTAATGTGCCCATTTGTGAAAATCTAAAGAAAACCGATAGTTCGTTCGTTTGTGGACATCAATAACTGTTACGTGAGCCTGATCGCTGCAGGTTTTTGCGGTCGCTCGTTGAACCTATCGCAAAACTTGCCTGCTCAATTCATTTATTCCCTCTCTTATTATCAGATAAGCAACCTTTGGACACTTCTCACATACTATTATTCTTATTATCATCATTTTCACACTCTGAATTATTGCCGCATCGCTAATTTATTCTGATATATCATATATACAGCCCCCAATTGGAAATAATGGATTGCTCCCTTTTTTCTGGCATCCCACCCTATTCTCGGTTCCTTCGGTGCAGGCACGAGCGTTTGACCGAATCACCACCACTGCTATTGCCAGTTAACTACTTTTGAAACTGAACCGAAGCCAAGGCGCGAATGCTACTCCATGAAAACTCCCACTCAGAAAACCACCAGTTCGGATTTGGTGTCCCTTTCGTGCAGGCGCATCTGCTGCTCTGCTTCGCGGCCTGCTGGGTCGAACCGATGTTCTGCCCAACCGTTGCAGTGAATACCTCATTACGGCCTACCCTCTTACTGGTGCGTTTTAGATCTTTGCCACCCTCAATGACTTCTTCCTTGGGACCCGACCCGTCTCAGCTATTTTCCATAACGTCGTACTTCTACCGAATGCTGATATTCTCATTTAGTAGCTCTCTTTGTGCTAAGACCAAACAGTAAAAACAAGAACGGTGAATGAAGAGAACCTTAGTGCCGTTGACTCTGACCTATGTTCTGAGGGAGCTTAAAGCGTAAAAAGAGGTTTGCTAAAAAAAAAAGGCAAGAGAGCTAAGCAGCAAAATGTTAGCTTTGCGCTTTTTTACACTAGATACTTCAATATAGCAGGCTTGATTCAAAAGAAAGGAGCTTGTCAGCGAAATTGTGAGGGACAATGTAACCGATATAGGTTTGACGGTGTTTCGAGGTCTTCGCGTGTTCGGGCACACGCCATGAACAGAACTGAGCCTCAGACTCTCCGATAAAAAATGACTTAGAAAGAAAGAACAACGAGAATACAAGTAAGGTAACGAGAAGTTAGCTCGTGAGGTGAATTCCAGAACACGCATGGGGTGAAGAAGGATTCAAACAGGAGGGCTCGACAACAGCATAAATCTATGGGGCAGATTTTGTTAGATCAACTGCATTCAGAGCGTAAAAGGTGATAAGGAAGGGACGATGACAATATCCTAGAGAACATCCTAAAGCGCAAAAAAAGGCTACGGAAGGCTAGCTATCGGCGCCTGTTGAACGACAGTCGAATTAGTTTAAACGCTAATTAGTCGGCCTATAGGTTATATAGAAGCACAATAAATGAGGCAGTAAAGTGAGATTTATGAAGGCAGCTCCAGCCTTCGGTGGTGTAGTAAAACATGAGTAAAACGGGAACGAAAGTAAGTTTTCACTAGATCTCGATTTATCCAGACGCTTTTGACTCGCGTTCATCATCGTACGGCCTCCATTTACTTCGGCGAGGTGAAAAAGGCTCAGTAATGAGAATGAGCTGTTGTCAGCAGCGGGCCAAACTTTACCATCATCAATAGTAGCTTCGAAGCTGCGGCCGTCACCCATGCCAAGGGTTCCCACCTCTATGCGAGCCGCGCTTGTCGCTCCCCAAATACTACGCCTATACTATATTTAAGTATATGTCCGTATGACTGGATGGGCCTGTTTGCGAGAATAGAGTCTATTATAGGCTAAAAGGCTGGCATCCTCCTTTCTTCTTATTGGCATCGGCTACTCTTAGTGGAACCAGTGAGGTACTGGATATCAGGTAATCTGGCCGGCTCCAGGTGCCAACACACAGAGAAGTTCCTCTGCTCTTCTTTATGTTATATATATATATATATGTTTTTCTCATATATATATATATATATATATATAAGAAAAGGAGACATGCGAGAGATAAGCGAACTGAAATCGAAACGAGGCTGGCATCTCACAGCGAAGCCAAGTAACTCACCTCACCAACCGGCTACAACCTCCGGATAGCAAAGCGAGGTAGCCATTACTGTAGCACCCTGAAAAGGCCTCTGTGGTATCAGCCTAGGTAACGGGAAGGAAGTGCAGGGTGTGTGAAAAGAACGCCACAGCAGCGGACGGTAGGCCGCTTTCTATAGGTTAATAATATACCTGTAAAGCAGGTCGAAAGAGCAGGCAAGATCCAGTTAGAGCGCCGCTGACGGGTTCAACAAAACTCGATGTGTTTACGGTGTTATCGCCTCCCAGCGCAGCGCCAGCAACGCTGCGCTGAACCAACCTTATACTGTTGGCGCTCTGCTTCAATCTGGTCCTGTCTCGTAACGGCCGTCTCGTTGTCTAAAATGGACTCTTTCGTGTTAAGGCGGGGGTGTATCACAGTGGGTGAACGCGGGTTGCTGTCAAAAAAAGGCAGTAACTAAAAAAGAAAGTCGTGCTAGATAAGAAAAAAGTCAAGGGGAGAACTGCTAGAGAACGAAAGTGAACAGTAGGGGCAAATAGGGCCCGTTAAAGATACTATTAGGTTTAAGGCCGGCGAAAGGCGATGCCAACGAAAATAACCGTATATTGTGCGTGAATTGAAGGCAGTTGGTGTTTTACGATGCGTAAGTCAACAAATATATAGAGGAATATAAACGTTCTTTGCTTCAGCAAGAATAATAAAAATAGTAGTAATATCAATAATGGTAATAATAATAATAATCAAGTTCAGCGTTGCGTAACAAGAACTAAGTATACAAGTACAAGTTGGACGAGGCCATACAATAAGAAAACGTTTACTTGAGGGCACACCGTAGATGCTTATCATTTATGGAACGTGAAAATTAAGTTAGCATCGAAGATCGCTCTCGAGAGGATCAAAAGAAAAAGAAATTTTGCCATCATCATCTGTCTCTGAAAAACACCATTCTGATGAACTGTAAAGTTGTCATAAAAACTAAGCGGTTGATTAAAGACAGACGATACATCGGCTCGTCGCTGTAACTTCTAAACCGGAACCCGGTTGGAACTGACAGCTGTTTCTTACTTACAATGCTGATCGCACCAATATAAAAAACTGATCCGAACGAAATATTACTGGTATATGCTGTTAATCAGTGATCACCACCGTGAAGCTGACAGGAAAAGTGCAACTTCTCATTTTCGAATCATGGAACTTCATAGATAACGCAGGTGTACAGACAACATCGCCGTTTGGAAGTATTACGCCTTTTTCGGCGATACGACTCTCGTCTAACAACAATTTCCGCGGCTACAACAATCAATCGGCCACAAAACATTGTCATAATGTAACCACACGACGGAGAGTTATGGCCAAGTTAGGAAAAATATCCCATTGTCGACGACTGCGTTTTCCACTGTGAAAAACAGTCTCGCGCCTAATCAGTGAAAGGTTCTATGCGACTTATTTACAAGGCTAAAAAGGGCTGATACGCTTGCAGATAAAATTATGGACCTTGCTTTTCGTATAATCGCTATTTCTGTAGGAAGCCTTGTAACACAGTAGCAACAGCACGAGAGAGGCCCCTAGTGTCATCTGACTATATTTCTCACTCGCTTTTTTCGGGGAGCAAACGATTGCCCTCACTACATGCTTAACCGCATCTCTCGACCTGCTCGCAGTACGCTAAAGAGGCTCACAAGCTTGCCAATTCCGAATGTTCAGTTAGGACGTGGGCAGAGACTATCAACCTTTGCCACAGCGCTCCACGATAACAAAAAAAAAGAAAGCCTTCATAATTCTTCATCTTTCCATTGGCTTTCTTAGTGTTTAAGTGCGATAAAAACACAAACCTTGTTGGACAGATTAAAACCGGTTAGTAACGCTAAAGGCACTGAACCGTGTATATGATCACCCTGTCCATTATAAGGTACTTTATAATTCGTGTTCACCTATTTCCTACGGGGTCAAGTGTAGTATAGCCACAGCGTTAGAGGTCCAACCCCTCACGATGACATATATCATTTCTTGACATGCGCTAGAAGTGTACCTCTTGATGGTCATGTTTATATAATGTAGCCAGAGTCGTTGTGGTTGCAACTTCAATTGGCGACTTTGACTGCTAACTACTAATCTTCAAAATATTGTTTCATAAATCCAGAGATGACCTCGCTAAAGTGTCACTCAAATACGCTGTGTACAAAAAAAAAAATTGAATTTTAAGTTGAAGGCAATAAATTAATGCAAGAAATGCAAAACACGTATTGGTAGAACTAACCGTTCGAACCTATGTGGACGATCTCAATAGTTATTCTTTATTTTTTCTCTAAGATAGTTGTTAATTGCCATTGAGCAATTTGCCTCATGGAAGTTTTCCTTGGATTTGTCAAATGCTACGTAAGAATCTGTAGAAGAACAATGTAAACCCTTCGATTGAAGAAAGCCAACTTATTTGTGAAACGGTTGAACATAAGCGATCGAAAGATTGCTGCATAATTTGTTACGTTTTTTAATAAGATCGGAAAAAAATAGTGTATTATGAATTGTTGCTATTCACTAAAACAGTTAATTCCAACAATTTATTGTTGATTTACAAACAACAACTAACAAGTTATTAAAAAAATCCATCGGAATTACTGAATAGCAGGAATAACCATGACAATGCCAGACCACATCCATGATTTTGTTCCACCAGACGCATCTGTGCCGGTCCTTGCAGAGCTCCCTTAATGATGTTCATTTTGTTCCAATGGAAAAATGCAAAAATCATCCCTTGCCAAGAAGCTATAGAGGTTCTTCAGCGATCGAATTATGAACAGAATGACAGAAGGCCGTCAATCAAAATGGCGCATATCTAGTTTAATAATATTATTTTAAAACATAAAAAGATCTGGGTTCGAAGCCAATCGATATCTTTTTCGACAACCCAATATATATGCATCGAACTTATATACACACTAGCAGAGAGCTACAAACGGATCCATACTCCATGTCGAAATGCATTACACGGTAAAGCCAGCCAACCAGGTTGACGTGCTGTCGTCTCCGACATTAGCGCTCAGTGAAGCCCGCCATTACTGGCACTGTTGTAGCTTCTTCGGACTTTGTTCCTTTTTGTCACGATATTATTGCTCCGGTAACATAAGAACTTTGACGAATGATGACTTCAACATCTCTGCTTTCTTTCCGATCTTCCTATAATCGCCCGACTTCCCCTGACGTGATAGCGGTCCACCATATCTGCGTGCTCGTGTTCGTCATCGAGAAGTAGGCACCTAGGCTAAAAGGTGGCACTTGCCTGTCTGCAAGGGTGACACACGCTAGATAAAGGGCGAATAACGGTCAGAGGGAGGATAAAGACGAGACGGGAACTGGCTGAATGAGCAAAACATAAGGACACACAAGCTTTCTTTTTCAGGCCGAGGGATGAACGCTGCTGCGAATCGCGCCCGACTTGCGAAGAACTCAGACAGAGAGAAAGAAAAACAATAAGAAGAAGACGACGGGTTCAGTTGTCGACTTTTTGTGGCTCGTCAAGCGTAGACTGCCGTTGACGCTACGGGGGTCCAAGGCAACAGATAGAACGAGGCAGGCATAGAAATATTGCGAGAATGCAAGAGAGCGTACTTTGATCTATGAACGCCGTTAACGGCGGACGGATCGTCGTAGCCGCAGCGGCAGATGCTGTCAACCAAGCAAGCTTAACCAATGGAAGATCTGCAACGGTCGACCTTATGCCATCTATTTATACGTATATTTTCTTGTACCACATGCAAAAATGAGAACACGTATTCACAAAGAATTACAGTCAACGAAGAATACCTAATGCTTGCTCCGCCTACAAGCGAATACCAGCTTGCTCATATTGCATGAGACAGAAAGAGGTCCTGATGCTTCGCCCTCATATTAATTCTCAGGTAGCACTCAGTGAATCATGTACTTCATATGATGAAATATGAATGGGATCAGATCTATTGTGAGCGTGACGAGTTTTCACAGAGAACAGCAGGAAATAGTATCGCGTCTGATTTATCCATATTACTAGAACTTGATGTTCATGCGTGTGTGTATTTTTGTATACACATTTCAATAACATAGAACGGCTCTAGCGCTGCTCCTTCTTCGCAAAAGACATCGAAGGGCGAAAAATCATATCTGAAAACGCAAATTTTCTCCACTGGGCTAAGGGAGATACAGAATAAAAGTTGAAAGAGGCAAAGGGCAAAGCGAGCGTGGGACAAAGCTCGTGAATAAAATCTAGCTCGTTATCAAACGGAAATAATAATGCACGTAGATTAGCTTTTCTCGAAGCTATAAACGGGAGACAGTTAACTTGGATAGCTACTCGTTTTTACTAATTTCATCTACGTTGCTTCACATCGTTGTCCAGATATATAATGTTGCGAATTAAACGGCCAAATATGCTGTAATAACACATATGAACCTAAAAAATATTTGAAAAAGCTTCACAGATTAAAGCTCTGGGAATGACCAAAAAAGGCTATCCAGAAAAAAGGACCCTTCATTACTGTAATGGTTAAAGGCGACACGCAAAGGACACCTAATATCGATAAAAGAAAACCCACCGAAGGACCTAATAAAAAATGCATAGACTTCGAGTTCTACAATGCTGGCATTTCGCAATGACAAACGGTGATGTTAACGGTTTAGGTAAAAAAGCAAAAAAAAAGTTAAGCGGAGCTTGTTAATTTATTGTAGGGACATTTATTTTTGTAATCTTAGATCTAGACATTGTAACTTGAGCAACAAAAACGTTTGAATATTCTAGATTATGTATTTGTTTTAAATAATAGTTAATCGTTGAAAACCAATCTAATCCGAGTCCAGATATAAGTTTCGGTACCTTTGCTGTTGCATAATTCTCAACTTACGAAAATACGTTATACGTTCGGGTGGAAAAACCGATGCTGCTTATATTGGTTTAACCGTCTACCTAATTCTTCCAAAATTATACCTTAACAGATCAAAGCACGTTCGCCAGGATACACACACCTGCCATCGTCTATATATATGTGTCCTGTCTTCAGTCATTCAATTGCTCCATACAGCTCATTTCGTGAGCTCGTACTGGTTGTCCTGGCTCATACTGGCTGTGTACAATTGCGTGATGCCATACTAAAAGAAACGAATAGTGCAGTCGGCGGTAATGTTCCGCGTCATGCTTGCGACAGGTGGGCGGTGGTCCTGGAGGCAACCTGAGATGCCTTTGAGCGGGAAGAGGAGTGAATGTTAGATCAGAGCTAACCCTAAATAAAACAGGACACCCTACAGGGGTGTCCTGCCTTCCCGCCTCTTGCCGCATCTTTTTCAAGACGCGTCGACTAAATGATGCCTAGCAGGCGCCGCCGTCACTCATCGAAGAAACGCCCGTTTTTCTGCTGCATTTGCCCCCTTTTCCTCGCAGTTGGCGCCCAGAAGACAGGAACATCGTGGGTAGCTGGCTCTTGGACCTTAGACTAATTGGCTGTTGGCTCCCTCGATTCTTACAAAAGCCTGTGGATTGGGTAAACCCCTTCCATTCGGCCATGGCGAGAATTGGCGCCTATTCGTGCACACGTGCGGTTATATATGTATGCCTTTATAAATTGGCAATACATACAAACAAAACGACTTTATCAGTCAGCTACCTTAGACAGTGTATTTCACCAGTCGCGGTGGCCGCAACAGTCGTGCACACTCAGGTTGAGCACACGCCTATAATTTTTCCGTTCAAGAAGCAAAGACCGCAGAAAAAAATGTAAAGTTAAGGGTATTTTACAATAGAGCATTGGTGCTAGATGTTTCTTGTAGTTTTTAGGACAAGCTAGATTTCAGCTCTCATCAGTTGTCTGTTTATATGCTCTTGAGTAGCTGGTTTGTATCGAAAGAAAGAGACAGAGGCTACTATTTCAATATGGTTAAGCATAGATAGAAATTATTGGAGTTAAAAGAAAAAGGTATTAACTGAGCAAGTAGCTTTATTGGTTGTAAATTTGCGCTGCCTGCAATTTCTTGTCAATGATATTGACCATCAAACCTACGAGGTTCTGCAGGTTATCATTTTGGATGGGGCTATATTACCGCGATCGGCAGCACCAATGGTTATTGCAAGCTTGTATTGAGTCATCAAATAAGTTCGGGAGGTCCTATGATGTGCTTCATCTTTTCAGTAATTCTTATACATGTATGGAAATGTTATATATCGATTAGGGTTCTTTCCTGATTATAATTATGTGATCATGTGCGGTGGAAAATGAAGTTCTCCCACGGAAGACTCGTGGTTTCAAAATCGACAATTTCCATATTTTGTAGAATAAGAAAAAACAGAGTTATATAGGGTAAATTAACAAATACAGAACTTACAGGCAAACGAAAGCATTTGAGATTTTTTTATACCTGAAGTGGCGCATATCAAAACTTAGCTGCGAGGCGTAAGTTGAACATACTGAGAATACAAAACCAAGTTTCGCAAACATCGGTAAATAGCGAAATATAACTAAAAATTTTATCTCTGATGACGCAGGTTTAAATAGCTTAAAATTTGTTTCGGCAGTTTTCGAATCCGGAACTGATCTAGATAGACAGAAGAACTATCGAAGTTAAAGACAAAACACTTGCTTAGCTGTGTCCTTTTATTCAGCACGCGCCAATCGACAAATGTACACTTCGACGTCCATGATGACAAAAAGATACACCGACAACTTGAATCATTCTGCTTTCGTTGTTTTGTCCACAAACGAATTATATTGAGGTGAGACGGCGATTGCCCATGAATTTACATGACGAGAATGTGACGGAGTTGATACTAATCTCTAATACGCCATTGTGGTTTTTCTGTAACTGAAAAAAAAAAACTATTTAACACACAGGGAACGGGACAAAGCAGGCTTATACCTGAGAACGAATAACCGAAACACAGTTCAACCAGGATTAGTTGTTTACAAGGCGCTGACATACAAAAGATGCACAAATAATGATAATTGTTATTATTATTATTATTATTGAGTGTACTTATCATTTTTGAAGTGTCGAATTTTATTAGTTTCACATTTTGCTATAATCTAGCTGGACCATGCGTTGATGTCATAGTTACGTGCTGTTTTGAAGTCTTCACGTGCATCCATAGTGTGCATCTTCATTCGGTCGAGCCTGTAAGCAAAAGGTTGACAAATGAAAAACTCCATCGGAATTAGATCTGGCGATAGCAAAAGCAATTTCACAGAATCTAGTTAGCTATAAGAAACCCCTCATTGAAAACGAACGCACAGTTGTGGTGTACTGCACCGGTAGACCACTCTGATAAAAGTACAAAATACTTTTGTACGGCCTCATTAATTACGGCATCACAATGTTTTTCAACACTACGGAACACACTTCGTGGGTAAAGGTTATGTTGAAGAACATCAGTTCTATATCTTCACCAGCTATTTTGGGGCTGATTGAGCCGTTCATGGTTTACCAAATGGGAATTTTCTATAGAGTTGTGGCGCTCGGCTAAGCTTAGAACGGCGTTATCAGACTGCGTGATTCGCTTAATGGTCTCTAATAAATCTGGGACGGATAGTTACAAGCTATTTCGCAAAATTGCAGACAGCGACCCAAATCCTATACTAACCCATTTTGGTTTATACATTCCCAAGCATATAAGTGTTATTAGAGGACCTAAAGATGTTCATTATCTATATAACTATTATATAAATTAAAAAATTTGCGTTTCGAAATATCAGCGTCCTCGACAAATGTTTGCCTGCGTTGGTGTAAGCTATCTGCCTGCATTTCTGAGTCACTTGTAATTCAGTCAGGTACTTCTGTGCTTTAACTATGAATCAACTTCTGTCGGAAGTTCAAATCCACTTTTTTCTACGTAGTTTACAACGCCCAAAATGCGATTGTACTGGTGCTCTTGAAGTGTGAAGTTAGCTCATAAACTGTTCTGAAATTACCAAAGGGTTCATTTTTTCCTTTTTTTCATAATATATTAATGTATCATCTATAATAATCATATATAAAAAAATAACTCCAAATTCAGGAAAAATTCTAAAAAAAAAAAAATGAAAATAAACATATGTTGATACGAAGTTGGATCTCCTCTTCCTATAGGATCAACTAAAGTTACATTAAAATTACTATCTGGCAATAATATTGTAATTGCCCCAGTCAACACTGATAAAGATAATAAAATTAAAATTGATGTTCGATTGAGACTAAGCTCCATTTGAGCGTTACCTTTTCTGCGCGTTCTGAGCGTTACCTGTTAAAATACGTATCTTTTGTTTCTTGCATTTCCATTTAATATACTTCTCAGAGTATTCGGTAATTTTCTTAAAAAGTTCACTCCAGAAATCGTTTTTATTTTCTATTTTATATTTATTTATATAGATGACAAAATCGGTCACTTATAATAAGAGTTTAAGTTGTACTCGAAGTGGTCTGCTTAACGCCCATGGTAAATAGAGACAACAATTGCGGGAACTGTAGTAAGAGCACCTTTAATTATTTATAGAACCTACGTCATTCAGTAAACGAGAATAAACTTATACTATTGCACAGTTCTAACTGTAGACGAACGTTTGTTTAAAAGTCAGCACTGCTATCTACATAACAATCCCATTGTACGTACAGCTTTTCTAAGCAGTTTCATATTATGCATCCCTTCAAAGTAAAGATCAGAAACCCGTAAACTTACTTGGCCGCAGGCCGCTAAAAATATGATAATGATTATCCGACATGAAGCAAGTTGAATGAACTTAAACCTTTAGCTATTAAATATATTGGTTTGTCATCTTTGGCCGTTCCAACCCACGTTACTTTACAGGCAGCACCCCCAAGATAACGCGTCTGACCTGCTTATTGATACCAGAATTAGCCAAGGCTAGAAAATGTCCCGTTCGTTTTGAAATCTCAGTGAAGTGCGATAAAATATCCAGTACAATCATGTGGGGGATAGTCTGTTCCTACGTTGATCTTAGCTATCATAACGTACCCTACTGTGGCACTTCATTAAAAGAGGCCATCTACGAACGTCGGAGGAATACTAATTTGTTATGAGAAACCAAATATACCCCCATATGTAATGGTACATGTACGACGTTTACTTAGTATCAGACGTATGATAAAATTGACGCTTACCGATTGTAAGTATTAAGTCCCAGATTGTTGATTTGGTTCCAACGATCTCGAAGAGCCTCTGAGTAGAGACATTTTTACTCAGTTTAATAGTACATTTAGCTCGATTCTGACTCATCAAACGCGACCGTTTATATTTTTCTAGCAGAAGTGAAATAAATTTAGCTTTAAAATTGATTAATCTCTGTCAGCCAGTATTGGTAGTCTTTGAAAGAAAGTACTTTTAAGTCAGTGGATAATACTGATGCGCTAGTGCGAGATCGGTCCGTTCCAAAGGTAGTGCTTCCCAGACGATTTATTTAACATTTCCACACAAATCTAAACGCAAATACATTCTGATATAAAGAATCTCAACTTACAGTTATAGAATACTTCCAATCTAATGTACAATCTCTGATTAGTACCCTCATGGAGATCGTTGAACACAACTTTCTCGAGGCCTCACTTGTAGCACTCATTCTGCGTGCGAATTTTCTGAATCCGGATAACTTCATCAATGCCTTACTTCAAGTGAGAGCGCCAAATCTTACAGAAAGGTAATGATTTCCATAAAATACATATAAAGCGTAATTCAAAGTTTTACTCCGTTGGAACGCGAGTAATAATATTGAATGTCTGGACAACACCAGTTATGCGTATGTCGAAATTTAAATAAAGTCTGATGACAATTTTTGGGCCGAAAACGCTCTCTGCTCTTGGGGCCAAGAATAGTATTTAACGCGCGTATAAAACTACATTACAGACCTCTAATCGATAATTAAGCAGTGGAGATTAGTACTTTGTTGTTTTTACGCTTGCACTAGATACTATATTATAGTAATTTCCTCAGATCAGGACTGTCGCAAGAAGCACACCGTACGCAGTAGTTTACGACTGATGCCTTCAATTGATATTTCTTTAAGATGGAAAATAGATATGCAAACGAAATCTCTGCGACCCTGATGATGACCAACTGATCAGCGAACTCACCTCTTCATTTACCTCTCTGTAATTGAATGTATAAAGTGAAAACTTCTTGTCAATCCGTCAGACCTGTCAAAAAGATACGTAGAAAAAAAATCCAAATCCATAAATCGTTCTTATGAGCCTGTGATAACACCTTTTCTACAATTATACAATTGACCTTAGTTTTCTGAAAAATCATGCCTGTTATCGACTCTTAGGCTACAGGTCGAACGTTCCTACCATCCGACTTAGAGCTTTCTATGTATCGAAACGACTAAAAGTGGTGACTGAAATATTGATATACAGTAGAATTTTTTAGAGATTTGTATGAGTTTCGGCGGCTCCGTTAAGACTGTCTCAAACTTCTTATAGGCAAGTAAAAGAAGAGAATCAAAAATAAAAAATCTTGTAACCTAAAAAATTTAGTTCTAAGTTGGCTCAGTCGTAGTGGGAATGGAACGCAAGTCAAACACAAACTTTTGAACCCACAAATAAACTAATAACCAAATCACTACCAATATATATTTTATCGGCGTTATTAAGAACGGCTCTCAGAGATCGATACAGACCTATTTTCCTGAAGTCCAATGAGGAATAACGAGTGGGGTCCTATGAGAAATAACAGATATGGCGTCATTTGCTTTGCCCTACGTGGGCTCTACCGTAGACTCTGTAGAAAATTTTGATGGACATCATGCCGCCCGTTGACCTTTTGTTTAGAGCATTGACAAATCCATCGAATACGTTTTAAAAGGTCTATAAAGACTGGTATAAGTTATATGACGTAAACATACATACTATCATGTTATAGCATTGTTGAGGTGTTTGTGATTACTATCAACAAAGGTAAATAAAATTTGGTCTTAATGTTTTGGCGTTATCTAGTATGAACTGCTCTTTTGGTTTTATGGATCTAATTAAGAAAAGCTCTCTGGAAGATGCAAGAAAGCACAGATTTCTATTAATCCCTCCAAACCACCTTAAGCCCTATTCCTTACATATAACTTATTGTGACACTATTCAAATTAACAACGTTACGCTTAAGTGGCTATCAGTTGTCGCAGTTGCATTACGCTGTTTAGCCCTCTAATGCACACTTTTATATTTGTCAAATGTTTCCCCTTTAAACCCAATACAGTAGATCTAGTTTTCTATCCCGTATGCGAGAGAATGTCCACTAACTTCTCCCACAATAAACTTCAACTGCGTTGTACAATTGACCGTCAACATAACACATGTAGAACATGTATTCGACCTTAGGACTACAGAGACATTGCCGAAGATCGAATGTAATTGTAGAATGTTGGAATATCTAACCAAGGAATTTCAATATACCCATCAAGCATGTTGAGCAAAACTGTTGGACATTGAAAAAGCATTGAAGTTTTGATTTTGGCAATGTAACGAAGTACCCCTTATTAAAATAACCTTGCAATTGAAGACTTTTTATAGGATCGCTTCACTATAGCATATGCTGTTCTATAAGAATACATCTTATATGAGCACAATATTTTGGATGCATATTCGTGTACTAAAAATCAGATGTGTACTCCATTTTATCTCTACTAAATCTTGATTAATTTCCACTGAGTGTATCGCACACTTTACATTCGTGTAATAGACATGTGGGATGGAATAAAAGGCATCGACATTACATATGAGTAACTAGCCCCTTTTTTTATTTAGACGTTATAGTTCTCTACGTATAAGTATTTTTTAGACTCATTTTCTCTCCATGGGCTCATATGTAGGTATGTACTTGCATTTGTTTACACTCTCAGCATGATTCTACAGGAAGCCACCGACAAAAACGTCAAAGACGACAGTTTCATCATCAAGAACAACTGCATCAAACGGTCCATATGTCTGCTGGTGTGTATGCACAGGATGGGTAAGTGGCAAGGGTTAATATATTCTCTCCAAAGCGTCGTAGAAGCTACAAAAAAGAGCGCTCGTTCCCATGGGCATCGCTCTACGTAACTAGGGGTCTACAATAGTAGGGGTGAACTCTTACGAGTTGCTTTGGCCCTAAGGCGTATTCGCTGAGGGTCAATATATCATACGATGATTTACGGAAC